TCAGGGGTTCTCCTGGCTCTGCACTCAGGAATTACTTCTGGTGGTGCTTGGGGGACCATATGGGATGCCAGAGATTGAACCTGGGCTGGATGCATGCAAGGCAAATGCCCTACCCACTGTACTATCACTCCAGCCCCAGGAGAAATTTTTACACCACCCCAGGTACATCATAATATAAAATAGGCTGGGATAGAGAAGGGACCACTAAGTAAATGATAGTTGGAGGGTTCACTTGGGCTGGGAGATGCGTGCTGAAAGTAGACTATGCACCAACATGATCACCGCTTAGTACCTGTATTGCAAACCATAACACCCAAAAGGAGAGACAGAGTAAGAGGGAATGTGCCTGACACAGAGGCAGGAGGTGGTAAAAGGTGGGGGTGGCAGGAGGGATACTGGGAACACTGTGGTGGAGAATGGACACTTGTGGAAGGAAGGGTACTCAAACATTGTATGACTGAAAAGTAATCACAAAAGTGTGTAAGTCTGTTAAAAAAAAAAGAATACTGGTTTGGCTTGCCACCAAAACCTTGGGGAAAATATATATTAGGGATATAAAGCATTGATGAATCATAAATTTAATAGATCATAAATTAGCTTTTTTAAATGAGTCATAAATGAAATTAATTTTAAGGAACTGGAGAGATAGTACAGCAAGCAGGGAACTTGCCTTGCATGCTGCCCAACTGGGTTCCATCCCTGGAGCCCCATAGAGTTGACCGAGACCCATCAGGAGTGATCCCTTGGTACAGAACTAGGAGCTCTGAGCACCTAGTTTGGGTGTGTCTTCAAAACAAAACAAAACAAAACAAAAGGGTACATTTTATGAAGGAAAGAACTAGACTTTAAGACAGTATATAGACATATATAGACAGTAATATAAAATGATGTGGGGTGCTACTGACCGAGAAAACAGCGGCAAAAACATAGATGTGATTACATCAAATTAAGAAGCTTTTGCACTTAAAAGAAAATGATAGCCAGAATGTCACTCCACATACTGGGAGAAAATATGTGCCCACCACTCATCTGATAAAGGGTTAATATCCGAGATATATAAAGCACTGGTAGAATTTACAAGAAAGAAAACTCAGTCACATCAAAAAATGGCATAAAGGGGGCTGGAGCAATAGCACGGCAGGTAGGGAGTTTGCCTTGCACTCGGCCGATCCGGGTTCGATTCCCAGCATCCCATACGGTCTCCCAAGCACCGCCAGGAGTAATTTCTGAGTGCAGAGCCAGGAGTAACTCCTGAGCATCGCCAGGTGTGACCCAAAAAGCAAAAACAAAACAAAACAAAAAAAAGGCATGAAGAGATGAACAGAAACTTCCCCAAGGAAAACATAAAGATGGCTAAAAAGGCTTATGAAAAAATGCTCTGCATCACTTATCAGAGAAATGTAAAGCAAAACAAAGAGATGTTATCTTATACCAGTGAGACTGGCAAACATTATAAAAAACAAACAAAAGCAATCAGTGCTGGCCTGGTTGTGGAGAAAAGAGGACCCCCATTCATTGCTGATGGAAATGCCTATTGTTTCAGCTCTTGTGAAAAAACTATATTGGCATGCCTTAAAATACCTAGGAATTGAGTTTCCATACCATCCAGCAACTCCACTCAGCATATTGGCACCTAGTCTCAGGGCACAAAAACTTCAGAAAAAACATTTGCAGGCCTGGAGTGATAGCTGGGTAGGGAGTTTGCCTTGCACATGGTCGACCGGGTTTGATTCCCAGCATCTCATATGGTCCCCCGAGCACCACTAGGAGTAATTCCTGAGTGCATGAGCCAGGAGTAACCCTTGTGCAATGCTGGGTGTGACCCAGAAAAGCAAAAAAAAAAAAAAAAAAAAAAAAACAAACCCCAAAAAGCATTTGCACTATGTTCATTACAGCACTATTCACAATAGCCAAAATCTAGAAACAACACAAATGACCAAAACCAGATAAAGAAACTGGTATAGGACTGGAGAGATAGCACAGCGGGTAGGGCGTTTGCCTTGCACGCGGCCGACCCGGGTTTGATTCCCAGCATCCCATATGGTCCCCTGAGCACCGCCAGGAGTAACTCCTGAGTGCAGAGCCAGGAGTAACCCCTGTGCATCACCGGGTGTGACCCAAAAAGCAAAAAAAAAGAAAAGAAAAAAAAAGAAACTGGTATATACACATAATGGAATACTACTCGGCTGTAAGAAAAGATGAAATCATGCAATTTATTGCTACATGGATGGATATGAAGAATATCAAATTGAGTGGTTAGTCAGAAATAGAGGAACAGACAGAAAATGATCTGTTTCACAAGTAAAATATAAAGAAACAAAGTAGGAGTATCATAAATAATCCAAAGTCACCAGAGACTGAGAACTGGTCAAGAACTAGTGTTTAGTATGATGTTTATAACAGGCGAGGGAAGAGGGGAGGGACAGGATGTGGGAGGTAGGGGTGGAACACTGGGACAATGGTAGAGGGAAGTGGACATTCTGGTATGGTGTGGGAATGTGTTACATGAAACCCTGTCATTAATAGTCTTGTAAACCACAGTGCCTTAAATAAAATTTTAAAAATGAATAAAATGACATGGGGTGAGAAAGATCGTACAGTGCTTAAGATACTTGCCTTGCATGTGGCCCACTCATTTGATCCCAAATACTATATCTGGTCCCCTGTGAATGTGGGCTTCTCCAAAGGCAGAGAGAACCCCTACACATCCCAGCATTAGATATGAAAGCATGAGAGTACATATTTCAAGTAGGGAGATGTTGGCGCCACATATGCTCAACCATGTGGGCACAAGCAGCATATAGGCTTGGACAGCATATGTGCTCAAACCATCTCTCTTTAAAGAATGAGGAGGGGACAGAGAGCAGGGTGTTTGCATAGCACATGGCCCACAAAAATTCCCATATGCGATAGCACATCGGGTAGGGCATTTGCCTTGCACGCGCCAACCTAAGTTCGATTCCCAGCATCCCATATGGTCCCCTGAGCACTGCCAGAAGTAATTCCTGAGTGCAGAGCCAGGAGTAAACCCTTGTGCATTGCTGGGTGTGACCCAAAAAGAAAAAAAAAATTCCCATATGGTTCCCCAAGCTGCCATGAGTAAGTCCTTGCCGCACCACTGGGTGTGGCCCAAAAACAAACAAGCAAACAAAACAAAAGAAAAAAGAAAAAATTTAGAATTCAGACTGACAAACATCCTCCGAGTCCCCAACCAATTCAGTTCCAGTTATACTGCTCACTCCTGGGCTGCCATGCCTGTATTGAATCAAGCAAACTTCCTGTCACCTCTTCCTGTCAAAAAGAAAGAGATCAGAGATGTGGCTTCTAGAAGAAGAGATGGGGAAGCAGTTCTCTCTGGCTCTTAGAAATGTGTCAGCACACCACCTTATTTGTTCTCAGAGTTTAGAGCCATGGACTAGGAAGAGGGAAGGTTTTCATTCTGAATCCTAACTATCCACCATTTGCATGTTCTGTGACTTTAAAGGATTAGTTAATTTCCTTTGGCCTTTAAAAATAATATATACAAGGAAATAAAACAAGATACTTTAGGTGGCCTTTTTCTTTATTTTTTTGGGGGTAGGGTCACATCTGGCGGTGCTCAGGAATCACTCCTGGAGATCTCATGGGACAATACTGGATGCTGGGGACAGACCCTGGCTTGGTCAAGTTCAAGGCAAACACCTAATCTATATTTTCTTTCTCTGCCCTTTATGGTTGCCTTGAGGATTATATAAAACAAAACCATTTTCCAGGGTGGAGAATGTAGAGCACCTGCATGCAGGAGGCCCTGGGTTCCATTCCTGAAACCAGATGGTCCCTCCAGCATTACCAGGAGCAGCCCCAAAGCACCACAGGATGTCATACAAACCCAAAAACAACTACAGCAGCATTAAAAAAACAAAACAAAACAAAACCTTTCAGGACTAGATGCTGAAAGAAGGTAAAGTGACATGCATGATATCCTATCAGTAACAGTATTGTAAGCCTCAGTGCCTAAAAAATGTGTGTGTAGGGGGGGTGATGAAAAAAAATAGTTTCGGATACAGAGGCAGGCTTGGGGGAAAGAAGTAAACTAGCGACATTGGTGGAGAAAAGTAACACTGGTGAAGGGATTGGTGTTGAAACATTGTATACCTGAAAATAAATCAAGAATAACTTTGTAACTTTGTAATTCACAGTGAGTCATTTAAAGAAAAATCTTACACTAGAAGAAAGCTCAACAAGCTGGCTTGGCCGCACCACGGCACATCCTCTGGCACTGGATAGAAGCCCCTGAGTGCGGATGGTTCCCCTCCCCTCCTCCGGACAACCTTCCCCTCCCCCCCTCCCCCGCCCCTATTTTCCATTAAGTCCTTAAGGCCCGAACCATAGAAAAGTTTTCAGATTACTATTACTGGACCCAGCAACTTTCCCAACTATTTTTCAGGTTATCGTCTCATTATGCCCAAGGCAACATAGAGGATTTGAGCAGTTAAATAATTTCCCCACGGGGTTAAAACTTGAACCCAGAACCTCACCATCAGGAAAGGCTTGCCAACAAGCATGATCAGAGAATGTTACAGCTTGCTCTAAAACACGTGACCAATTACTGCCTGTACCCACCAGGTTTTCTGACTCCAAATTGATAGTTGGGCCATAACTTATGAAGGTCTAATAAGACGCGCGTTTCATAAAACAGGATTTGGGGAGGCAAAAGAGATTCCGAAGCAGTGGGGGTCCCGTCTTTGCCCCCAATGCAGTCGAGGTCCTGTCTTTGCCCCCAGAGCGGACGAGAAATCTTTTAGGCCTCATTTTCTTCCTCCTCGGAGCGGTGAACGAGTTATTGACATCCTTAGCGTCCTCCCCCATACGAGTCCAGGGCAAAAGCCGGGCCCTGCTCAGGTAATGGCCCAAATCCGGACGGCTGAGGTTCGTCCTGTCCGCGACGCCGGCAATAGGGACGCGTCCCCTTTAAGGCGGCAGCTCGCCGGCGGCGGCGGCCGGAAGTGTTGAAGCCCGGCCTGGCGGCGGCGGTGGCGGTAGCAGCCGTGGCGGCTTCTGCGCATGCTCCGTCGCCCGCCCGCCCTGGCCGCTCGCCGCCCGCCCGCCCGACGGAGACGGTGAGGAGGGGGAGGGGTGGGCGCGCGGGCGCGGGCGCGGGGTGGGGTGGGGGCGGGGGGGGCGGGCGCGGGGGCCGCGCGGCGGCCGGCGAGGGCGGGCGGGCGCGCAGGGGGCGGGGGGCTGCTGCCTCCGCGGGCGCCTCCCCACGCCCTGTGCGTGCCGCCGCCGCCGCCGGGGAGCGAGCGGACGTCGCGGCGCCGCGGGGGGGTGGGGGGACGCTGCCGCTGGGTCCGCCCGAGCAGCCGGGCCGCCCCCAGCGCGGCCGGCCGCGCTGCACGGGCTCGGCCCCCGGCCGAGGGCGGGGGGGCCCCGCGAGCCCCGCACTGGAGGCCCCCGACGCCCCCGGGCCGAGGGGCCCGGAAGTCCTCGGTCGAGGGTCCAGGAGGGGCCGAGCGGCAGCGGATGGAGAGGGCCGGACGCCCGGGACCCCGGCGAGGGTCTGGGGATCCCGAACTAGTGCCGAGGCCTGGCCGGGGAGCACCGGGCCCTTTGGATGCGTTGCTAGGGAGAGGCCTGGGTGTCGCCCAGGGAACGGGGGCATGACAGGAGAAGGGGACCCCGGTGCCCGCCCCGGAGGGAACTCCGCGGAGCCTGGACGGGGCAGCTCGAACCGGAGTGAGCACCGGGAACTCCTTTCCACCCCACGGAGCGCGAGAGGGCCTGTGGCCCCTGAGCCTGGGAACAGCCCCACTCTCCCTCTCCAGGGCGTGGTGACAGCGCTGGGCCGTGGGAGCTGGGGACGGGGAAGGGGCGCGCCCGGGGGACGCGGGCGACACTGGTTTGCCCAGGAGGGGTGGGGAGGGCCACGGAGGGCCGCTCCGAGGGACACAGGCTTTCTCGCAGTAATGGGGAGTGCACTGGGCCAGCTGGGGTGTCCAGGCTGGGAATATTGTTAGGACCCGGGACTAGTGATTGAGGGGGACAGCGCAGCGCACCCCTGCTTTCTGAAGTGCCAGCTGTGGGCCAGGTGAGGGGCAGCAGAAGGGAGACGGACTTTTCCCTGGAGAGGGAACCACGGACTTAGCTGTGACCTTGGGCCAGGGGACCGCAGGCAGGAGGCCTGAACTGACCGCCTGAGCGCATCCAGAAACCGCCCGCTGCACACACGCTGTGGGGACCTTTGGGAGTTTTGGGCTCTCGTAGGTGTCCCAGAACCCAAAGATGTCCCTTACGGAGGGTTAGGGGAAAGGGTGAGCGGATCATTCTAGACTCGGGGGATTGGCCTATGCTAATGTTTACCAAAGTGCATTTGGAGGACTTTAATTAAATTTTTGGACTGTCGCCCCATGTTTGTTAGCCTTTTTATCAGTTATTCATGGCTGCTGACTCGATAACTTTTTCATTCAGTCACTAATCAGGAGATTACTCGTTTTTATTCCAACAAACACAACTTGTAGTCAACTCCATTGGATTGGTTTGAGGCTCATTTTGGTCTTTCCCTAGGTTGTAGACCCCAGTAGGATGAATCTTCAAAGAACTCCGTTATCTCATTGGTTCCCCAAAAATCTTCAATATATTACTTATCCTGAGCTTCATTTACTCTATTTCCCTTAAGATGGTTCTATGTTAAAAAAAATAATAATAAGGTGGTTCTATGTTGCCTTCTTGTTGGCTTCATTGCCTTTGGTAGCATTCTAGGTCACCTACTTTATGAATGAGAAAAGAAAGGGAAGAGGGAAAAGAGTTTTGGCCTCAAGTAAATACAATTTTAATTATTTCTTGATTTCTACACATGACTGGAGAGAGTTCAGAGGCTGAGCACATGCTTTGTATGCATGGATTTGATTGTACCCTGAGCACTATCATGTGTGGCTGCCGAATGAAAGGGTAGACTGCAGGACAGGAGAGATGCTATAGCAGGCAGGATGACTCTGACTGTCCCCACATGCCCCATATTGTCCTCAAGCCCCACTAGGAGTGATCTTTGAGCACAGAGTCAGGAGCAAGCTGAGAGCAGCAGGGAGTGGCCTCTAAAAAAAAGGATAGACTACACAGGGTCCCAGGCATGTGGCTTAGTGGTAGAGCACTTGCCTAACGTGCGAGTCTTGGGTGTGAGTCCCTGCTCCTCAGGACAAATTTAAAGAAATAGACAATACACAGTTAACAAAAATTGTAATCCAGTGAGTGGGATAAATACACGAGGGTTAGGAAATTTCAGGGTATATAGCATTTCTGTTCCTTTACAGCTGCCAACTTTGATGCCCTTACAACATGTGACACTTGGGCTTGTGGTTTTTAAACAGCTTTAGAACCTAATCTAGACTAGGTCAGATGTCCTTTGTTTAGTTTTCTGATAACTTTTGTGAGCAGTCAGGTGCTTACTTTCAAGGTGTCTTTCTAGTCTTTGAAAATAACTATAAAGTATTTTTTCTTTTCATATAAATTGACATTTCCCTTACATAGTTTCAGTTTTGTGTGATCCCACAATGAATACTCTTCCATTAAATACCCAAAGGACCAACTCATCTTGCCTCAGGAGTTTTGTTGCTATAAACAAAAGCCACTTTTCACTTTACACTTAGCTGAAAGAGATGACCTTGCAGGTAGCTAATATAGTCTGTAGAGCTGGTTTCAGGTTACTTGCTAGAATATGGTATTTAGGGTAATAAGAGATGTTCAAACCCAAACTTACTTCTCTAAAGAATGTAAGAATTGCCGTGTTGAATCAGACCTGTGTCTGACTGGCACTGAGAAATATATTGTGAATGATTATAATTATCTTTTTTTATAAACTCAGGTTAGAGAAACATTCAAATTGTTTTACTTGGGTTCTGAAATGTGGTAGGGATGAGGAGTAAACTTGAGTTTATATTTAGGAAAGAATCAAATATTAGTGATACTTACTCATGATATTGTGGACGGCCAGAGAGATAGTACAGCAGGCAGGGCATTTGCCTTCTATGCGGCTAATCTGGATTTGATCCCTGGCATCCCATATCATTCCTTATGGAACCCTGAGCACTGCCAGGAGTAACTGCTGAGCATTGCCAGGTGTGTCTCAAAACTGAATAAAAAAGTTGTAGAAAGGAATTAGGATAGAAGATTGGAACTACAAGGATCCTGGACTGGAAATGTAGTATAGAGGGTAAAGTGCTTACCTTATATGTGGCCAACCCTGGTTTGATCCCCAGCACTGCATATGGTCCCAGGAGCACAACCTAGAGTAAGCCCTGAGCCCTGCTGGGTATGACCCCCAAACATACCCCCCAAACAAAAACAAAAAACAAACTAGAAGTATCTTTCCAATTCTGCTATGTAACAATTTACATAAGTTATTAAATTAAGAAAGTAAAAGCCTATTTAACATACTGAACTATTTTAATTATGTGGCCCAGAGTATGCCACAGCAGTAGACTATATATATACCTCATGTATGAAACCCTGGGTTCATTTCCCAGCATCCCTCCAAAAAACTTAATTATGTAATAGTAAAAAAACACAAGTTGACTGTAAACACATATTCAACAAACATTGGTGCAGTTATTTATTTATTTTTTGCTTTTTGGGTCATACCCTGCAATGCTCAAGGATTACTCCTGGCTCTGCACTGGCAGTGCTTGGGGGACCATATGGGATGCTGGGAATCGAACCTGAGTTGGCCGCGTGCAAGGCAAACATCCTACCCGCTGTGCTATCGCTCCAGCCCCTGCTGCAATTATTTTTAACTCAGCCTGTGTTTCTACCGTTCAAGTTTTGAATATCCATTGGTTCTGTTATTCTAGGATTTGATGGCATATTTATGCTTTATCATGTCCCTTTTTCACTTTCTCATCAGAGGTCTAATTGTTTTGGTTCTGATACTGGCAGTCAGCCAAACCAGTCCATTGATTCTTTTTTTCACCTCCTAGTTTGTTGTTTTGTTTTTCTTTTTGAGCCACACCCACGGGTGCTCAGGTATAACTTCTGGTAAAACTCAGGGGACCATTTGAAATACCAAGGATTGAACTTAAATATAGGAGCAGATTTGAGAGGGATTCTGAGTTCAATTTAAGATATGTAAAAGAGAACAGAAGAGAGGCCAGAATGATAGTCCTGTAGGTAAGGTATTTGCCTCAGTATGAGGCGACCAACTTGGGTTCAATACCTGGCATCTCATAATAGCCCCCTGAACTTTGCCAGGAGTGATCCCTGAATGTGGAGCCAGGGGTAAGCTGTAAACACATCTGGGTGTAGCCCAAACAAACATTGTTCCCCAGCCAAAATAAAAGTCATCTTTTTTTTTTAAGAGGCTTTTGGAAAGAGCGTAGAGCTCATGAAAATATTTATGTGCGAGAATCATAAAGGGCAGAAATGTAAGTCAGATATGTGAAGTTTTAAGTGTTAAACTGAACACGTGAAAGTCAAATGTACCTGAAAGTCAAATGATCTCTAACATTTGTCAGATCCTATGATGAGCAGGGCTGTGGGAGACAAAAATATTTAAAATTTTGCTTTTGGGCCACACTCAGTTGTGCTCAGTGGTTACCCCTGGTGGTGCATGGAGGACCGTATGGGATATTGGGCGTTGAACCTGGATTGGTTGTATGCAAGGCAAGCGCCATACACAGTATTTTCAGAGTAGTACTTGTTCTCACAGAGTATAATGCAGTTATGGAAATGTCTGCAATAAAGAGCATTAGTGTAATAAATCCTAGAGGAGCGCTGCAAGCCAACTAATGGAGAAAATGACTTGGGGGCTTAGTGGTAGAGCATTTGTCTTGCTCAAGATCCTGGGTTCGATCCTCAGCACCATTTATATACACAAAAAACAGTGATAGAAGGGGAAAGAGGGCCTGGAGCACTAGTGTATCAGGTAAGGCACGTGCTTTGCACATGGCAGACCTCGATTCTATTCCCAGAATTCCATGTGGTCCCCCAAGCCCTCCTCCATTGTCAGTATTATGCCCTGAGCAGGAGTGAGCCCCAATAATAACAACAAAAAAAAAAAGAGGAAAGAAATAAAATGGCTTCTTCAGTGGCATCTTGGTAGAGATGCTTTGGGCTTTGAACTGGACCTTGAAGGGAGGAGCAGGTGAGAGGAAAGGAGTTTTGGGTTTAGGGCATAATCAGGGTATAGATACCTGAAAGTACATACTATATGTTCAGAATGCAGTGAATGTTGATGTGATTGGAACTATAGATTTTTTGGGTACTAAGTTAGAAAAGTATTTCAGAGCCAAATGAGAGATAGTGCTATGTTTAAATATGTATGTTACGGGCAATTCTGTGACAGAGCTGAGATGTGGATTAGGTTGGTTGATTACTAGCTGCACCTTCAAATCGCATCCATCAGGCACCTACTCTATTCAGCACAGTCATCTTCACATATCTAAGTAAATACAGTGCTGTTCTTTGTTTTTTTTCCTCAACTGTGGGGACTGACAGCTACAGAGTATCCTGGGGCCCTTTGGATTTTCATAAGCTCCAGAAAAGGTGGACCAGAGAGATAATACAAGTGTTAGGGGGCTAGAGTGATAATATTGTGGGTAGGGGCACTTGCCTTGTATGCAGCGAACCTGAGATTGATCCCTGGCATCCCATATGGTCCTCTGAGCCCACCGAAAGTGATTCCTGAGTGCAGAGCCAGGCGTATCCTTGAGCATCATCAGGTGTGGCCCAAAAACAAAACAGGAGTTAAGTTGCTAGCTTTGTGTTCTGTCAACTTGAGTTTGATCTCCAGGAGGCACCGGAAATGGTCTCCCAAGTGAGCCGGAAGTGAGCCCTGAGTACCATTGGGTTGGCTCAAGACCAAAAAAAAAAAAAGATTCAGAACATTTTTTGAATTACATGTTCTCCCCAAATCAAAAGTTATTTTTATTCCTTCTTTACATCCCCCTCATTCCCCCACCCAGGGGGGACCATGTGGTGCCAGGGATGGGACTGAGAATGGCCACATGCGAGGCAATTGTTTTAACGCCTTTACTATCTGCAGCCCATCTCTTCCGCCTTCGTTTTGCTTGTGGATGTGATAACTGGGGGTTGCTCAGCCTGCATGGCTGTGGTGCTACAGGCTTACCAGCACATTCTTAGTTGAGGCACACAAGTTCCAGTTGTGAGCTTTGGAGATAGCTCATAGCACTAGAGCTCATGCCTTGCACCAGACCACAAATATATAGCTTGCACCCAACACCCTGTATATAGCTCTAGAGGGCTCCAAACACCACAGGTTTGGCCTTGGTGACTGCCAAGCTGTTTTAGGGTGTCCCTGCTAGACCTTAGCACCACTGGGCCAAAGCAACATCACATCATAAGGCCCAAGCATTGAACCATCTGTGCAGTTTGGCTGAGAATGACTACGAGTGGCCCTGGGCCCCTGAACACTTTCAGGAGCTGGTTGGGGAGGCTCCCCTCCACCCCATGAAAAGCTATGTTTGTAGTGTTCACTGGGGATCATTAAAGTGCTCACTAGAAACCACAATTCCTGGCACTGGTGCTCACGTATCCTTTAGCTGGATGCTCATGGGTGCACCTTTTAGTGTCGCTCACATATACCTGACTCTGTTGCAGTCAGCTATTACTTACAACACCAGGGATCACAGATAACAGAGCTCACACGTAGTGCATCTGGGATTTGAACTCATGTTTATACACCTTCAAGGCAGGCAATCTAAATCCCAGCATCCCTGCTTTCAGTTACTTTATTGTTGTTTCTTTAGTCTACCGCTCTCCCAGCTGAGATATTTTGGCTGCCATTACTTTATTGTTTTTTGTTTTCTTTTGATTGGAGGCTACACCAAGCAGTGCACAGGCCTTATTTCTGGCTCTGTGCACAGGGACCACTCCTGAAGGGGTTTGGGGCACCAGGGATTAAACCTGGGTTTGTTGTGTGCAAGACAAGCACCTAACCCATTGTACTATCTCTCCAGCCCTAGTTACTTTATTTTAAAAAATGGGAGCAGGGGGGCCGGAGCGATAGTACAGCGGGTAGGGCATTTGCCTTGCACATATGTGACCCAGGTTCAATCTTTGGCATCTCCCTAGCATCCCGTACCCCCTGCACCAACAGGACTAATTCCTGAGTGCAGAGTCAGAAGTAACCCCTGAGCATTGCTGTGTGTGACCCAGAAAAAAGGGGGGGGTGTAGTGGTGTAGTTTAACCACACCTGCCTGTGCTCAGGAATTACTTCTGACTGTGTTCAGGGATCACTCTTGTGGTACCCAGGGGATTATACGCAGTGTTGAGAACCAAACCCAGGTCAGCCACATGAAAGGCAAGTGTCTTATCCACTATTCTATCTCTCCAACTCCTGCTTTTATTTTATTTTAAATTTTTGGTTATTTTTTTTGTGGGGGGGGGCAGTACATCTAACAGCACTCAGTGCTTACTCCTCGCTCAACTCTTAGAGAGGACACTCCTAGCAGTCCCAGAGGACCATATGGGGTACCAGGGATTGAATCAGAGTCAGCTATGTGCAAAGCAAGCACCTTACCCACTGTACTATTGCTTTGGCCCATCCTGCTTTTACTTACTTTAGAATCAGGAAACATCATTGTTTCCTGATCATAGGAAACACTTGTTTCCCTACAAATTGTTTAAGGGAAATGTCTGGTGAGATAATCTCTTCATTTAGTCTGAGGCTAAAACATATTAAGTAATTTCTAGAGACATCACAAATGTAGCTCAGAACTAGAACATGTGCATTGCATTGTATGAATCCCTGGGTTTGATTCTAAAAAAAAAATCAGGAACAAAGCAGCACTAAAAAAAGAAGTAAAAAACAATAGTTCATAGAGGTCATACAATTAGATTCAGCATTTGTTAACTACTACATAATGATGCAAGTTATCTTTTTTTTCTCATACAGCATAGTTCAGTTGGCAAGTAGAGACTAGATACTTTGTTAGGTACTTACAAAGAACAGAACACTTCATGAAATTGCATTTAAAATAGATATGATTCTTGCTTTCTAGGCCTATACTGTCTGGGATGGAACTATCAGTATGCTATAAACTAGCTCTCTTGGGTTTTTTATTTTTGTTGTTTCTTGTTTTTGAGCCACACTGCCTATACTTGGGGTCACTGCTCCTCGCTCTACATTCAGGAATTACTCCTGTCAGTACTCATGTGACCATATGGGATGCTGGGGCAAGTATCCCTCCCACTATGCTGTCACTGTAGCCCTAAACCAACTCTCTTTAAAAAAACAAAAAAAAACACCTGGGGGCTGGAGAGATAGTACAGAGAATAGGATGCTTTCCTTGCATGCGATTGACCCTGATTCAATCCCCAGAACCCCATATGGTTTCTGAGCACTGCCAGGTGTTGCCAAAAAGACAATAAAAACCCAACAAAACAACCTGATTTGTAGTGCTTGCCAATTTCTGTGGAGAGTAGTTTTTCACTATCACTCATTTTGAGCAACCAACTTGATTGTCACTAAAGGAGAAGTTTGGAAGAAATGAGCACTGTCAGTTTCAGGAGCCGGTAAAAAGCTGACTCTGGCACACCACAGGATGAATCACACATACTGAGAAAAACCTAGAATCAACAATGAACACTAGGGCTTTTCTGGAACTATAAGAGTCTTTATCAGTCTTTTCATATAGTTTCTGTCCTTTTCAGAGGATCTTTAGGGCACTACATTTTTTTGTATGCTATACTCAGCAGTGCTCAGGGATTACTCCCTCAGGCTTGGGGTATAGGGGTTGAACCCTGGTGGGCCTTGGTAAAATAGGAGCCCTACCCTGTACTCTGCCAGTCCTCCAGTATGCTCTTGAAATTGATAGTCATTACTCTTTTTCTACTATCCTGTAGTTGTCATCTTTTGAAAGCAAACAAAGTTTCTAGTGAGTTCCTCTCTGGATTTTAAATTTCTAAATGAATTACAAAGTTACAAAGTTACAAAGTTACTCCAGCTTGAGTTTCTGGCATACAATGAGTTCTTGTTTCTAACAGCAGCCCCCGCTCTCTGACTACATGTGAAAGATGGCCAATGCGGAAGTGAGTGTCCCAGTGGGGGATGTGGTTGTGCTACCCACTGAAGGAAATGAAGGGGAGAACCCTGAAGATACTAAAACCCAAGTGATCTTGCAGTTACAACCTGTGCAGCAAGGGTAAGTAATAACAGATTTGAGTTTTCTGAGTTAAATCTTACGAGACTTACAGGATGGGAAAACGAAAATTTCATGATTATTTAGCTCAGTAGAACATTCAGCATTGATCTCACATCTGTCTAAATTTTCATCTCCAATTTATTGGGTCTGTGTCATTCCTTATTGAAACAATTAGCCTCTCTCCCTCTTCTCCCTGTGAACTTCATGAGGGTAAGTTACACGATTTTCTCATTTTGTTTGCTAATGAATACTACGAATAAGCCTAGTGTAAGCACCCATCACCAGCAAAACTCCAGACATTAGTACATATCTGTCAAAAGAGTTTTTTTTGTTGTTGTTTTTTCAGATTTACAAACTTTTGTGCTTGGGTTTCAGTTATACAATGATCGAGTACCCGTCCCTCCACCAGTGCCCATTCTCCACCACCAGTGATCCCAGTAACACCCCCACCGCCACACCCCCCACCTCGCTCCCCCTCTGTGGCAGGGCATTCCCTTTTGCTTTCTCTTTCTTCAGGGTGTTGTGGTTTGCAATAGATGTATTGAATGGCCATCATGTTCAGTCTATAGTCTACTTTCACCACGCACCTCTCATCCTGAGCGAGTCCTCCAACACCCCAAAAACGGTTTTTTTAAAGAGATACCACACCTAGCAGTGCTCAGGGTTTATCTCTGGTTGTGCACTGGCTCCTGGTGGGTTTACCAAGCTCATATAGGGTGCAGGGGATCAACCGGGGTTGACCTCATGCAAGGCAAGTGCCCTACCTGCTGTACCTAATCCAAGTCAAGGATTTTTTTTTTTTTTTGGAGTGCTGGGGATCAAACCATTAACTCACATGCCTGACTCAGTAGGGTTTTTTAGCTTTTCACCTTTTGCCATGTCTGGTTCTGTGCTCAGGGGCCATACCTGCGGTGGTGCTGGGGGACCATGTGCAGTGCCAGGATTTGAATCAGAGTTGTAGCTGCAGCACCATACTAGGAAAGCACCTTAACCTTTGTGCTATCTCGCTAGTTCCAAGCTTTTTCAGTACAACCATAGTTTCCTGAACATTTCTGAATATTCTTAAACATAAAGGAATTATTCTAAGGATTTATAAGGAGAACTCATTAATAATTCCTGAAATATCAGTAGATTAATATTTTTTGTTATACATATGTGTATTCAATATCCACTTGTTTGGAAATATCATTTGTTTATTTATTTTGAGCTGTGGGGGCCACACCTGGCAGTGTTCAGAGGTTACTCTGGCTCTTTGCTCAGGAGTGACTCCTGGTGGTGTGGGGACCATTGTAATTTCAGAGATTGAATAACTCCCTACCTGCCATACTCTCGCTCCAGCCTTAGTAGCAGATTTTTAAAGGAGATACATGATCACTCTGATAGAAACATAGATCAGTTAGATATAAAAGCCTATATCAAACTATTCCCCACAATGTTGAACCAGCGCAGGCCTGATGTGCTAAGCCTAGGGATGCTCAGCCCTAGTCATGCTCAGGGGCCACCAAGGTTATACCTGGCAGTCCTTGGGGAATCTAGATTGTACTGGGAATGGAACTCAGTTCCTAGCTCATCTAAGGCATGTGCCCTAGCCATTTGTCTATCTCCCTGATCCAAATAGATGGATTTCAGGAAACACTTTCTCTATGTAGTGCCTCTAGTTATTGTTAATTACTTTGGGCATAGCCTTTTACTTTTTTGTTTTGATTTGGGTCATACCCAGTGGTGCTCAGGGACTGTTCTCAGCTTGGTGCTCAATGGTTGCTCCCAGTGTTGCTCAGGGATGAAATTCATGCCTTCTACATACAGAACATGTGCCCCAGCCCATTGAACTCTCTCTTCAACCTATGTCATGAACTTTGTTTGTTTTTAGGGGAGGCAGGGGTAGGGGCACACCTAGCAGTGCTTAGGGCTTAATCCTGGCACTGCAGTTAGGGATCAGTCCTAGTGCTGCTTGGAGGACTATATTTTCAGTATTTCATGCCATCTCCCTCCTCCCCTTATACTGTAGAACTGCTGGCCTAGAACACTAAATCTGTCAGGTCCACATCTCGTGCTCACTCAGTATTACTAGGAGTGGTTCTAGGTCCAGGTGGCCCTAGGCCCCTGGAGTTGGTCCCAATATATTAAAAACAAAAACAGAAAAAAATGAAGCTTTGAAAGGGCACTGAGGAGATAGTTCAAGTAGTAAAGCACATGCCTAATGTGTGAGACCTTGAGTTGGATCTCCAGTAGCATATGACCCCGTGAGCATCCCTAGAGTGACCCCATTTAAAAATAAGAGTAAGGGGCCAGAGTGATAGTACAGTGGGTAGGGCACTTGCCTTACACACAGCCAGCCCAGGTTTGATCCCTGGCACTCCATCTGGTCCTTCAAGGCCAACAGGCAGGATCCTTGAGCACAGAACTAGGAGGAAGCCCTGAGCACTACCAGGTATGGACCCAGAACAAACATATCAACATTTGGATTAGAGCTAGGGCTCCATGAACTGAGCACATGTTTTCCATGTGGGAGGTGTGGATTCACTCCTAGTGCCATGTGATTTCTCTCATACTATTAGGAACAACCTCTGAGCATTGAGACAGGAGTAGCCCCAGGCACTATTGGGTGTGTCGCCTAGAACGTAAGCAACTTCTAGGTCTGACTCTTCTGGCTCTGCAAGCTTAAGGTTGTGAATTCCATTCCCTGTGTCACCGTACTTGCTGAGTACTATCATGTCACCTCTGCTCTCTGTGATTTCCCTGCCCCACAAACAGTTTCTAGTTGCATCGTAAAGTATGTGAGCATCTTGGCCAAGGAGTGTGATCCTATGCAAGTATGTTTAGGAGTACTACTGTGGTGGGGGGGGGGGCGGGGGAGGCTGGAGTGATAGTACAGTGGGAGGGTGTTGCACAGGGTTGACCCGGGTTTGATTCCTCACATCCGATATGGTCTCCTGAGCACTGCCAGGAGTAATTCCTGCGTGCAGATCCAGGAGTAACCCCTGAGCATTGCCAGGTGTGACCCGGAAAAGCAACATCAACAACAAAAAAGAGTACTACTGTGTGGGGCTGGAGAGAAAGCACAGCGGGTAGGGCGTTTGCCTTGCATGCAGCCAACATGGCCAACACAGGTTCGATTCCCAGCATCCCATATGGTCCCCCGAGCACCGCCGGGAACAATTCCTGAGTGCATGAGCCAGGAGTAACCCCTGAGCATCGCTGGGTGTGACCCAAAAAAGAAAATAAAAAGAGTACTACTGTGGGGCCCAGAGCGATAGTACAGTGGGTAGACTTGGTGAGCTGGGTTGGACCCCCGGCATCCATATGGCTCCCCAAACCCCACCAGGAGTGATCCCTGAGCACAGAGCCTGGAGTAAGTCCTGAGCACCTCTGGGTGTGACACAAAAACAAAATAGAAAACAGGGAAAGAAAAGCACTAGCATTGTGGTATATTAATTTTACTCCTTTTGAGATAGATTAAAGCAAATTTCTTAACTCCATGCTGTGAATATTAATTTTTTCATGATTTATGTAGTTTGTTTATCGATGGACACTTTTACAACAGGATTTATGAAGCTGGGTCGGAGAACAACACAGCAGTTGTGGCAGTAGAAACTCACACGATACACAAAATTGAAGAAGGGATTGGTAAGTCTTTTGTTTCATTCTAGAACCTTTAACCTTATCTTAGATTTCTTTGACTTTTTGGTTGTTTATTGGTACTAGGATTGTCACACATGAAAAACATGTACTTTGTGTGTGTCACATCCCTACTCAAGACTGAAGATTCGATTCCTGTGGCTTATGTTTTTCTCCCTACTCTTTTGTTTTGCTGATACTGCAGTCATCAAATGATGATGACACATCTAGAGACACCACTGAATAAGTTGCTACGGCTGCCGCTGATGGTTTAACATTTAAAACTTTAAAAGTTTTGGGGCCAGAGTCATAGTACAGCAGAAAGGGTGTTTGCCTTCTGCAACACTAACCTGAATTCATTCCCTGGCATCCCATATGTTCTGTGAGCCCTGTCAGTGATCCCTGAGCATAGAGCCAGACTAAACCTGAGAACCACTGGATGTAGCCAAAAAAACAAACAAAAAGCTTAAAATTTTGTTTGTTTTAAGGAACAATAGATCTTTTGGAGCTATTGGCTTCTAAACAATAGGCTTTAGGAACAATAGATCTCTCTACTTAAATCATTCCCAAGGCAGGAATAAAAGAGACCTGTGGGTAGAAGAGTTAGTACCTAAGTAAAAAGTTCTCCATACTTGCATTGTGTTGCTGACCTGGGTTTGAACCCTGGCACTGCATATGGTCCCTGATCACCACCAGGAGTGACTACGGAGCAGAGTCAGAAATAAGCTCTGAGTGCTGCCACTTGTGATCCAACTCCCCCAAAAAATACCACGCAAAGAAATTGGAGCCTTGAAGTTGATCTCTGTCATTTAGGGAAGTTGCTAATGAAGACTCTGATTTGGTATTGACTTGAAGACTATAGAAAGAAGCAAAAGAAATTCTGAACCTCGACAGCCTATGGTTTTTTTGTTTGTTTTAGTTTTTTTCTTTTTGGGTCACACCTGGCGATGCACAGGGGTCACTCCTGCCTCTGCACTTAGGAATTACCCCTGGCGGTGCTCGGAGGACCATATGGGATGCTGGGAATCGAACCTGGGTCGGCTGAGTGCAAGGCAAACGCCCTACCCACTGTGCTATCACTCCACTCCAGCCCCCGACAGCCTATTTTTTTTTTTTTTTTTTTTTTTGCTTTTTGGGTCACTCCCTGCAATGCACACGGGTTACTCCTGACTCTACACTCAGGAATTACTCCTGGCGGTGCTAAGGGGACCATATGGGATCCTGGGAATCGAATCCGGGTCGGCCACGTGCAAGGCAAATACCCTACCTGCTGTGCTATTGTTCCAGCCCCAGCTTATGTTTTGTTTTTGTTTTCTTTTTTTATTTGTCTTTTTGGGGACCATACTTGGCAATACCCAGGCACCACATCCAGCTCTCTGTTTGCAGGTCACTCCCAGCAGTGCTCAGGGGACCATATCGTTTCTCCTGCATGCCAAGAATGTGCTTAGGGGCAGGAGTGATAGCACAGCAGATAGGGCACTTTCCTTGTACACAGTTGACTCATGTTCGATCCCCAGCATCCCATATGGTCCCCTGTGAAGAGCCAGGAGTAACCACTGAGCATGGATGGGTATGACTAAAAACCAAAAACAACAACAACAAAAAGGAATATGTACTTAATCTGTTGAAATATCTCTCAGGCTCCAAACCTAAGTGTTAATCCCTCTTTCTCACTTCTTAGTTGTTAAGTTCTATATACATATATACATACACAGGAAATAATCACTGCCACTGTTGTCAGAACTAAATAAGATTAAGTATGTAGTACAGTGGTTAGGCATTTGCTTTGCATGCAGCCAACTGTGGTTCAGTCCCCAGCATTACATATGGTCTCCTTTAAGCCCCACCAGACATGATCCTTGAGCTCAGAGTCAAGAGTAAGCCCAGAGCACAGCTGGCAAGTGTTACCTAAAACCCCAAACCCAAACAACAAAAAAGCATGTATCACAGGGCCAAAGAGATGGTACAGAGGTTAAGGTGCTCGTCTTGCATGTGACTGACTTTGGCTTGATCCCTTGGCACCACATAGCCCCTGAGTACTACTGGACATGGTTCCAAACCTCTACTTTTCTCCAACAAAAAACCATGTAGCACAGTGTCTGGCACATATGTGAGAATTCACTAAGAGGGCTATTATGCCAAACTTCTTTTTTTTCTTTTTTCTTGCCACACCCTGGAGTGCTCAGGGGCTACTCCTAACCTTGCTCAGACTCACAGCCAGCAGTGCTCAGTGAACCACATCGTTGTCAAGGATTGAACCTGGTCTCCTGCCTGCAAAGCATGCCCTCAGCCTTTTGAGCTATCTTTCTAACTCAGTTATGCCAAACTTCTAGAGGATTGTTTTTGTTTTGTTTTGTTTTGTTTTTGCTTTTTGGGTCACAGTCGGTGATACACAAGGGTTACTCCTGGATCTGCACTCAGGAATCACTCCTGGAAGTGCTCAGGGGACCATAAGGGATGCTGGGAATCGAACTTGGGTTGGCCGTGTGCAAGGCAAACACCCTACCTGCTGTACTATCACTCCAGTCCCATTCTAGAGGATTGTTAAACAGTATCAGTAGTCCCTCAGAGGAAACAGTTAGAGATGTCAGGTTAGAGCTTTTGGATAAAAGAATGTACAATAAATTACGTTTTTTGTTATATTCTGTTTTCAGATGCAAGCACTATAGAAGCAAATGAGGACATGGAAATTGCTTACCCCATAACATGTGGAGAGAGCAAAGCTATTCTCCTTTGGAAGAAGTTTGTTTGTCCAGGAATAAATGTGAAGTGTGTCAAGGTAATTATTTTTTCTTCAGGACCTATCTTGGGGTGCTTTATTTCCAAGGGTATGGTTTCTATACCTCTTCCATCAAACCAATATTTTCAATTTTGTGATTGTAGTCCCATTGTGTCACAGAAGATAAATAGAAATTTTTGGAGTAAAAATGTTTGGAGTAATACAGTTTCTGTTTTGTTTTTTGTTTCTGTCCACACTCAGTGATACTCAGGAGTTATTCCTGGTTCTTCACTCTGGGATCACTCCTGGTGATGCTGGGGGAACCATATGGGATGCTAGGAATGAAACTCGCGTTGACTGGGTTCAAGTCAAATGCCTTATCTGTGGCACTGGTTCTGTGAGAGTTATAAATGTGACTTTCTTGTTCAGCAGTGTATTCTCAGAACCTTGAATGATTCTTGTTTTATTTATAAATATATATTGAGTGAATGAATGGAATGGTGTTACATGTCTACCACTGATGATCTTGAGCAAATTATTTCATATTTTGAGCCTCACGTGTTAAAATATAAGTAATCATATGAGGACCTGAGATACAATACAGTAGACAGGGAGTTTGCCTTGCAAATGGCCTATATAGGATTGATCCCTGGCACCCCAGGTGATTCTCCCAAGCAGCACTAATAATCATCCCTGAGCACAGATCCAGGAATAAGCCCTAATCACCACTGGGTGTGGCCCAAGCCTCCTCCTGCCACCCCTCCCTCCTGCCAAAATAATCATGTATACTATAAGGTTGCTAGAGGGAAAATGACATAATATAAATAGCATGCCTTAGGTTAGTGTACATTAAATAAAGTTTTTCAATTATTACTGATAAAAATATTCTTACAAGGGCCAGTGAGAGAACTTACAGGATGAATGGAGCACATGCTTTGCATGCTGGAAACACAAGTTTAATCTCCAGCATAACATGGTCCCTTGAGCACTGTCAGGAGCAATTCCTGAGCCAGGTGTATCCACTGAACATTGCCAGGGGTGCCTCCAAAAATCAAAGCACAAGAAACTTCATGAAAGTGCAGTGCAGGAACAATAGTCTGTCTCCTTTAGCAGCCAGTACTGTGCTTGTGACTCGTGGTCATCAGTGGCATCATCCCAGAGTTATAGAGGGTTGGAATATTTCAAGGCTCTGCAGTAGTATTGGTTTCTACCATACTTTTATTTATTTTTTAATCATACTTATTCTTTTCACCACAACCTAAATCTAGTCATAAGTGCCTGATAGAACACTTCATTCTTTACAGCATTGTATGCAAATACCTGATTAAAGGCATGCATGGATTTTAGATGCTGATCAGTATATTAATCTCTGATCCTCCCTGTGTTTCATGTAGTTTTGTACCAGGCACTATGTTCAGAAAAGGGTCATCTTCTCTGTCACAGCAGGACAGGAGGCTCGGACGATGCAAGGTCATGACTTGAGATGTTGTTTGACTGTTCTTTGTACTTCGCAGCTTGAGTTATCGATTTCTTTCCTTGCCTAAATTGACTCTGAATTATTTTGGACATTTTTTTTCCAGTTCAATGATCAGTTGATCAGTCCTAAGCATTTTGTTCATCTGGCGGGTAAGTCCACCCTAAAGGACTGGAAAAGAGCCATTCGTCTGGGTGGAATCATGCTCAGGTGAGCTGTAGCAGCAAGTACAAATCTCCCACTGTATATTGGGCACTTATGCTAGAAACTAGAGAATCCAGCCTTCACTTTGTTGTTGTGATGGTGCTTGGGGGCCACACATATGCGAATCACCTGCTTTGCTACTACAACCAGATCAGAGGCCCCAGTCTTTTAATTCCAAATATTGATTCTGTCTGAAGATCACTTGAACGATCACACTTTGGCCTTCATCAGCTTGTTTTTAAAATCTCTGGAACTTGGGGCTGGAGTGATAGTACAGCAGGTGTGGCGCTTGCCTTGTACACAGCCCACCTGGGTTTGATCCCTGGCATCTCCTGTGGTCTTCCAGGCACTGCCAGGAATGATTCCTGAAGTGTAGAGCCAGGAGTAACCCCTGAGCACTACCAGATATGACCCCCCACCCGAAAAAAAAATCCCAAAATAGTTAAAATAATGAAATCCCTGGAATGAAGAAAATTTTAATTAAATTAACCCTTTGCAGCACCTAGATAAAATTTATTTGAACATTAGACTGCTGAGTAGAGACCTCTTTGGTCACATATTCAGCAGTAGCACTATCCTCCCGTTGCTCATCGATTTGCTCGAGCAGGCACCAGTAACGTCTCCGTTGAGAGACTTGTTGTTACTGTTTTTGGTCTATTGAATACGTCACGGGGAGGTTGCCAGGCTCTGCCGTGTGGGCAGGATACTCTCGGTAGCTTGCCGGACTCTCTGAGAGGGACGGAGGAATTGAACCTGGGTCTGTCACGTGCAAGGCAAACACCCTACCTTCCGTGCTGTCGCTCCAGCCCAGTAGTATCTTTTTTTTCTTTTTTTTGGGCCACACCTGGATGTGCTCCTGGCTTATTCCTGGCTCTGCATTCAGGGATCACTCCTGGTGGTACTCGGGAGACCATATGGGGTGCCAGGGATTGAACCCAGTTGACCATGTGTAAGGCAAGTGTCCTACCCACTGTGCTATCTCTCTGGCCCCCTCAACAGCAGTATCTGACAGTTCTGCTTGAGATCACTAAACATGCTTGAGAGAGTAAGATGCATGCCTTGCATGTCACTGACCCCAATTTGAGCATCCCAGGAGGCCACTTCCACCACAAGAGTTGCTCAGGTAATCCCTGGCACTTTGGGACCCAAGCTATATGACATCCTCGGTCCTCACAATGAATTGCCTGTGCAGTTGGCTAAGATTCACTACACCTGAGCACTGCTTGGTAAGCCCTGTCCCCCCACCCCCCCCAAAAAAACAAAACAGAGCAAAAAGGTTACCAGTGCTTGGCCACACACAAGTAAGCACAGAAGCAGGAGGTGCACAGGGCGTTTGGTCCATGCCAAGTGGTACTCAGGGATTGCTCTTGGCAGTGCTCAGGGACCTATATGAATGCCAGAGACTGAACAGTGTTTGGCTGCATGCAAGGCAAACACTTCCATCCTTATATTATCTATCTGCCTCCTGTCTAACTTTTTTAGGGGAAAGAGGGCCATACTAGTGCTCAAGGGTCTGTTTCTGGTTCTGTGTATGGGGGTCACACCTGGCAATCCCTGAGGAACCATGTGGTGCTGGGAGTCAAACTGAGGTTGACTGCAAGCAAAAACCCCGTGCTGTCTCTCCAGTCCTGCTTTAAGCTTTTTGTTGTTGGGCCACACCCAGTAGTGCTCAGGGATCACTCCAGCTGTGCTCAGGGATCACTCCAGACAGTGATTGGAGGACTCACATGCGTGTAGTGGTGTGGTGGCGAAGTGCGAGGCAAGCATCTTATCCCTGTACTACCTCTCCAGCCCATGTCTTTAACTTTTTTAAGGAACATGCCTTCCAAAAAATCTATTGTGCTTGTAGAGATCAAGCATAATGATATCCCCTGAAATATTATTATAATGAAAATTACAGTCTGCTTTAATATACAGTTAAGGGACAGGTAAAGTAAATTATACCTTCTCTGAATATACTTGAATATATACTATAGGATACTGTGCAGTCATTAAAATAAAATTTTTGTTTTTTGTTTTTCAACTATATGCAGTGCTAGGGCTACTTTTAGCTCTGTGCTTAGGGGTCACTCCCGACATTCTCAGTACGATATGGGGTGCTGGGAATTGAACCTAGGTCAGCTGCATATAAGGCAAATGCCTTACTGCTATATTACCTTTTTCCACATCAGTTATTTTTGTTTGTTTGTTTGGGGGCCACACCTGTCAATGCTCAGAGGTTACTCCTGGCTCTGCACTCAAGAATTACTACTGTTGGTACTTGGGTAGCCATATGGGATGCCATGATTGAACCCAGGTTGGCTGTGTGTAAAGCAAACACCCTACCTGCTGTACTAATGCTCTAGCCTCCAATAGGTTTTCAGCATCTGTATTGCAAACCATAATGCCTAAAATGAGAGAGAAAGAGAAAAAGAGAAGAGATGTGCTGACCATAGAGACAGGCTGGGGTGGGGGTGACTTGAAGGGGTGGGAGGGAAACGGGGGACACTAATGCTGGGAAACTATGGGTGTTGGAAAGTTATATGACTGAAATATCGTCATAAACAAATTTGTAAGCTCTATCTCATGGTGATTCAATAATAAAAGAAAGAAAGAAAAATATGTACTAAGGATATATGCTGAGGGGCTGGAGAAATAGTCCAGGGTACACCTTGCACAGGGCCAACTCAGATTTGATGCTTGGCAACCTATATGGACCCTGAACCCCACTGGGAGTGATCCCTGAGCACAGAACCAGGAATCAGCCCTGAATACCATAGGGTGTGCCCCCCAAACCAAAACAAACAAAAACTGATATTTTCATGACTTCAGAAGTGGCAACAAATCTTGTGATCTGGGAATAATATATTAGTGTTTCATAAAATGCTAATATCTTTGATGTATTCCCCAATTGTGTTGAGATACGAGCTAGTATTTTTCATTTTGGGCTTTGGTTTAAGTGAGATTTTGTGGGGAGACATCTATTATCAGGAATGTATACCTGAGCTTATTGATAAGAGGAAACAAAAAGAGAGTATTCATTATATGTAGATATTGGGAATGATAAGGGGTATTTGTTACTGTGGGCAGAAGCAAAGAAAATCATGTACCCCAGGACCAAGAGGTAGTATTGTAGGTGGGGTGTGGCTCAAAACACAAAAACAAAGCAGAAAACAAACAAACAAAAAGAAAATTACATAACCCTAATTAGAATTTTTGCCACCTACTGACTTTTAGTACCACTATGCTTCACTAACCTACAGAGGAGAGTCAGCATCTTTTTCTGTGTTTGTCCCCAAGGCCCAATTCTCTCTAGATGAAATGCAAGCTGAACTTGTCTCTCTTTGCATAGGAAAATGATGGACTCCGGGCAGATTGATTTTTACCAACATGACAAGGTTTGCTCCAATACCTGCAGAAGCACCAAATTTGATCTTCTGATCAGCAGTGCCAGAGCTCCCGTGCCTGGACAGCAGACAAGTGTGGTGCAGACACCCACTTCGGCTGATGGTAGGGGGTAGGAAACCACCTGAAAACCCACTGTGTTTTTTAGTACTTTGTTTCTGCTTTGCACTTCTTTCTTTCTTTTTTAGTTTTATTGGTCTTTGAGTCACTCCTGGCAGTTCTCAGGGTCTGTTCTGGCTTTGTGCTTGGGAGTGGCTCCGGTGGTGCTGGGGGATCACACAGTGCCGGGGATGGAACATGGGCTTCCTGCGCGCCAAGCATCTGCCCTGTTTGTTGACCTTGCTCTCTGGTCCCGTAGCTGCAGTGTTAGTGAGTTTTGGACTGGGAGTCCCTGCCATCCAGGAAAAATGTAGCCATGTGAGATTGTTATTAAGGAAAAAGTATTGATTTTTTTTGTTTTGTTTTCCTTTTGGTCCATGTCTGGCAATGCTCAGGGGTTACCTGGCAATGCTCAGTGATCTTATTTCTTTGCTTGGTAATTTATTTTCTCTAGTGCACAGAGTCCACACTTGTCTGTATTATTTTCCCTGTGTGTATGTGGGGTTGGGTGGGGAGTGGTCACACGCAGCAGTACTCAGGTGACCATATGGTGCCAGGAATTGTCCCTGGGGTTTCTCGATGCATTGTCTGTGCTCTAGCCCTTTGAGCTATCTCCCAGGCCTCCATCCTACTAGCTATATTTTGTCTGGATACGTTTTATTTTTCTTAGTTCTTTTTAAAAAAAAATCTTAGTATATAATTGATAACAATCCTCCCCCCACAGTCCTCTATCCAGAGACTTTTTTTTTTTGGTCTGCCTTTTTTGGGGGGCAGAGGAGGTGGCTAGACTCATCAGTGCTCAGAGACTCTCCCTGGCTAGAGTCAGAGTTCTTTCCCGGAAGTGCTTGGGGAACCATGTGAGGTCAGACATTGTACCTGGTCTCCTTCATGCTGAGCATATCTCTCCAACACTTTCTGGGTCTATTTTTTCTTGTTTATTTTTCTTATGTAGGCTGATAAATAAGATACAGCAACTTTAGTGTTCTAGATGCTGAGTAGCAAACATGCTTGTGGTAGGGTTCTTGATTAACTGCCATACTTTCCTCTTAAATTATTGCAGGGCTTCCTTTTCTGCACAAACTCTAGGGTAGACAGCCTGGCAATCATTTCTGTCTCTGCCAAAAACTTACCTGCCTAGGAAACAGATTATTATTATGATTTTCTGTCATCTCTCACTTTTCATTCAGAGTAGGAAGAAAAAGCATTTTCTTCTGTGAGACAGGTTTGTTTTACAAGATTCAGTATTCTTCCTAGCTTAACCTAGGATTCTAGGTTTCAAAATAGGAACCTGTAGACAAGATGCAGGCTCTGACTGTGAGTGTGTGATATGAGATAGCTATGACTTTTTTTTTTTCCATAAAATTCACTGTCTTTCCATTCACATTCGTCTGATGGAATGCTTTTAGGTAGCATCACACAGATTGCAATCTCAGAAGAGAGTATGGAAGAGGCAGGGCTGGAATGGAACTCAGCTCTCACCGCTGCTGTCACCATGGCCACTGAGGAGGGCGTGAAAAAAGACTCAGAGGAAATTTCAGGTACTTTCTGGGGCTTAATTATCATGCAAGGTTTTATGACCTTATTGTCCTTATGTTTATGGACACAGAAGACCTTAATTATTTTTGTTGATTTGTTGTTGTGGTTGTTGTGAAGCAAGAAAGTTTTTATTGAAACTTAGTTTAGGAAGATGTAAGGGGAGAGAAAGAGAGAACACAGGCTTCTCCAGAGTGGAAAAAGGCAAGCAAAGAAATATCAAGACAAGCAAGTGAGAGATATGTTCAAGAGAGAACACGAGCTTGAAGAGCATGTCTTTTGCTGATTTGTAAATACATAATGCTGTTTTTTTTTTCTTTTGGATCACGCCTGGCACAGGGGTTACTCCTGGCTCTGCACTCAGGAATTACCCCTGGCGCTACTCAGGGGACCATATGGGATGCTGGGAATTGAACCCAGGTTGGCCGCGTGCAAGGCAAATGCCCTACCCGCTGTGCTATTGCTCCAGCCCCATTAATGCTAATTATAGCTGCAGGTGCCTTAGGAAGTTCATGCTTTTCGTCATGCCAACTATCTCTGATATTGGTCCATTTCATAGATAACCCAAGCTGTGTCATAAGAGAAGATAAAATAATTGATGGTGTAAAGGATGTGATTAATGATGACAGCAATTCATTTAATAAATATTTGGTTGTAACTTTTACTAGTTAGATGAGAAGATATGGCCTCTACCCTCAGAGTTTATAGTGCCATCTATTTAACATAATTCTTTTAACATAGGACTGAGGGAGCATATCTTTCATATTTTTATTAACTTTTATCTTTTACTTTTTAAATTTTAATTTTGGTATTTTAGGCCACACCTGGAAATACTCAGGGTTTACTCCTGGCTCTGCACTCAGGAATTACTCCTGGCAGTGCTCAGGAGACCATATAAGATGCCTGGGTTGGCCACAAAGCGAGTATCCTACCCATTGTACTATCTCTCTAGCTCCTTGTTAACTTTTATAATATTAAATATTTAAGGGCAGGGTGTAGCTTGATGGTAAATCATGTGCATGGTATGTGTGAGGCCCTGGGTTTGATCTCTGGTGTAAAAATAAATAATAAACAGAGTACATTTTAAATATGAATATTTAATTTTAAATTTATATATGTAAATGCTATCTCTGTGTCCCCTTAATTTATCTTTACTAATGAAAGACTGTACCTTTATAGCCAGAGCCAGAACAAATTGAGGGCATGCTAAATTAAAATAATTGTCCAAAATTTTATGCTTTTTTTTTTTTCAAAATTTTATGCTTTTAAAGAGACCAAATAATCAGGTACCATCTTTAGGAAGCAGCTAGTTTTCCAAAATCTGATTCCCTTTTCCCAGCAATGACACGACAACAAATTCTTCTGAACTAAAATAATTTTTAGTTTAATACATGACAGGTGTGCCTTGGTGTATATAGTATTGCTTGTTTACTCTTTCTTGTCCCTCTTATGCCAGAAGACACTTTGATGTTCTGGAAAGGGATAGCTGATGTAGGGCTGATGGAAGAGGTTGTCTGCAATATACAAAAGGAAATAGAGGAATTACTCAGGGGAGTTCAGCAGCGGCTCATACAGGCTCCCTTCCAGGTCACAGGTAAGTACTCTAATTCTAATAACAGTAGTCATTTATTAGACAGTAATGACTGTAGGCAGATCCGTTAAGCCTCATAGAAATACTGAAGTATAAGTATTATTAGCCCTTTCTTACAGATTAGGTAAGTCACTTGTTTGAAGTCTTTCGTTTTGTTTTGGGGCCACAACTGGCAGTTCTCCTAGCTCTGTACTCAGAAATTACTCCTGGCAGTGCTCAGGAACCATGTGGGTTACTTGGGATCAAAGTTGAGTTAGCCACTTGCAAAGCAAGTCCCCTACCTGTTTTACTATCATTCGGGCCCTGATCAGAGGTTTTCAATTCAGGCTTGATCATGCTTTTTCTTTCCACAGGTAACTTTTGCCTATATAAATGGTTCCAAAAAGGCGACATGTTTATTTCTTTCTCTGTTTCATATGTGTGTGTGTTGTGTGTGTGTGTGTGTGTGTGTGTGTGTGTGTGTGTGTGTACACATATAAAAATTATATAGCCCGGCAAGCTACTGAGAGTATCTCGCCCACACAGCAAAGCCTGGCAAGTTACTTGTGATGTATTCGATATGCCAAACACAGTAACAAGTCTCACAATGGAGATGTTACTGGGCCCACTCGAGCAAATCAATGAACAACGGGAGGACAGTGACAGTGACATATATATATGTATATATATATATATATATATATATAAATTTTGTAACCCTTATCACTATTATGATTATGGAAACCAAAGACCTCTTAATTATTTTTTTGGTTTTTTGTTGTTGTTGTTGTTGTTGTTTTGGGGCCACACCCAGTGATACTCAGGGGTTACTCGTGGCTTTACACTCAGGAATTACTTGTGGCCATGCTTGGGGGACTGTATCAAACCAGGCCAGCCATGTGCAAGGCAAGTGCACTATCTCTAAATATACTATCTCTGTGACCTGACATCTGATTTTTGACAATTATTTTCTTTGAGTTTAATGGTTCTGGCACTATTGTGTTTATGTGTAGCTGTTTCTATTGTTGTTGTTCTGTTATTATTATTGTTGTTGTTTGGGAACCACACCAGGCAGTGATTGGGGGCTACACATGACTAAATCCTTGGGAATTGCTCCCAGCATTGCTTTGGGATCATTGTGGAGCTAAGGAGGGCTCCCACATGCAAAGCAACCCCTCCAATCCTCTGAGCCTATCTTCTTTTGTTTTTTGGGGAGGGCTTTTTGGGTCACAGCGGGCGATGCTCAGGGGTTACTCCTGGTGCTGCACTCAGGAATTACTCTTGGTGGTGCTCAGGGGACCATGTAGAATGCCACGGATTGAACCTGGGTTGACCCATGCAAGGCAAATGCCCTACTTGCTGTACTATCATTCCAGCCCCATCTGAGACATCTTCTTGCTATTTCCGAATACTCGCAGATTTTGCTCCTCTGCAGGGTGTTGAGGGTATTCTAATCATCAGATACAAATGGGGTTATGATATACATCATTTACTTGCATGTTGCATAGTGGGTAGCGTGTTTGCCTTGCACACAGGTTCATACCCTTCATTCCTCTCGGAGAGCCAAGCAAGCTACCGAGAGTATCCCTCCCTCGCGGCAGAGCCTGGCAAGCTCCCTTTGGTGTATTCGATATGCCAAAAACAGTAACAACAAGTCTCACAATGGAGATGTTACTGGTGCCCACTTGAAATCAGTGAACAGGAGGACAGTGCTATATACATGTTTAGTGAGTTCTCAGTTTTTTTTTTTACCTCTTTATGATGCATATATAAGGTTTAGCATAATCTTATTTTAAATGTGTAGAGTAAAAAAAGGTATCACTGTACCACTGTCATCTTGTTATTCTTCGATTTACTCAAGTGGGCACCAATAGTGTCTCTATTTCTCCCAGCCCTGAGATTTTATTTATTTATTTATTTATTTATTTTGCTGATTATGACATCTTATTATGACATCTCATTCCTACTTTGACAAACTGGCAGGCTACCGAATGTAGCCTGCCCACACGGCAGAGTCTGGCAAACTCCCCGTGGCGTACCCAATATGCCAAATACCAGTAACAATGATGGCTCTCCTAAAGAGCCTTGAATATAACCTCAGGGCCAGGATGAAGGAGACGTTATTGGGGCCTGCTCGAGGCAATCGACGAATAACAGGATGATTTGTGATTGTGATTGTGTGATTTTGCTTTTTGGGTCACACTTGGCGATGCACAGGGAGTTACTCCTGGCCGTGCTCAGGGAACCATATGGGATGCTGGGAATCGAACCCAGGTCGGCCGCGTGCAAGGCAAACGCCCTACCCGCTGTGCTATCTCTCCAGCCCCGCAGCCCTGAGGTTTTAGCAGCCTCTTCTTACTCGTCTTTTCCCAACGATTGGAGGCTCTTTCAGGGTCAGGGGAATGAGACCTGTTATTGTTACTGTTTTTGGCATGTCGAATATGCCATGGGGAGCTTGCCAGGCTCTGCCCGTGCAGGCGGGATACTCTCGGTAGCTTGCCAGGCTCTCCAAGAGGCATATATTTATATATTTCTATATATATAATATAAAAACCAGAGGTTAAAAAGCAGAAGTGATAATTATTCATTTTAGGTTTTGGGGGCCATACCCATAAGTGTTTAGGGTGTACTTCCAACTGGCAACTTCTTTGGAGTTAATTCTGGTGGTACATGGGAGATTATGTGATACTAGGAATTGAAACTGGGTCTTCAGGGGCCCAAGAGAGAGTACAGTGGATAAGGTGTTTGCCTTGCACAGACAGGGCTGACCCGGATTCTGTGTTCAATTCCTGGCATCCCATATGATTGTCAGCACAGCCAAGGAGAGTTCCCTGAGCTCAGAGCTAGGAGTAAGCCCTGAACACTGCCAGGTGTGGCCAAAAAAAAAAAAAAAAAAAAAACCAGAAACAAAGAGAAGCTGGACCTCCAGCATGCAAAGCATGTACTCAATATGTTGGACTCTTTCTCCAGAGCCCTAGAGAGCAGGTATGGCTGTTTTAGATAACGGTCAAGGAAGACCTGTCTCTAAGGAAGTGGCATTTAAGCAGAGATAAATGGAAGAAACTGGTCATTTGATATGCCGGAAGAGGAAACATTTCAGATAGACAAAGCAAAGATTTTGAAGTGGCAATGAGCTTAATGGATTCAATGAATTATGAGCCAGCAAGATAGTGTAAGTTAAGGCCTTGGACTTACAAATGGCTGACCTTTGTTCAGTCTCTGGGACCTCATATGGCTTCCCAAGCACTGCCAAGAGTGATTTCTGAACACCACTGGCTATAGCCCAAAACACCCTCCCCCTTGCCCAATTTTTTGTTTTGTTTTTGGTTCATACCTAGAGATGCTCAGGGATTACTCCTGGCTCTGCAATGCAAGCACCCTATCCCCTGTACTATCTCTCCAGCCCTCATTCCTCCCCCCAAAAAGTTTTTTTCAAAAAAGAATTCTAGAAGCTCTGATGTAGTTACAGTAGAATAATGTATGGGGAGAATGGTAGGTGATAAGGTTGGAGAGATCAGTGGGAACACTTTGGACAAACTTTCATCAGTATTGCAGGTTTTGTTTTACCATGATGGTAAGCCATCAGACACTTTCCCTTTGTTACTATTTTTGCAATGACTAGGGGTTCACATACACTTAACTGTGGTATTCTCTAAAGGTCATGCTTCCTTTTTTGTTTGAGCACCCAGCAGTGCTCAGGGCTTAGTCCTGGCTGTGCACTCAAGACTCACTCCTGGTGAGGCTCAGGGAACTACATGAGGTTTTGGGGCTGGAACCCAGGTTGGCTGTGTGAAAGACCAGTGCCTTTCCCACTATACTGAGCCCTCAAGTAACACTCCTCTAACTGTTCTCCTTTGACATGTGCTCTCCAGGAGTCACACTCTTTATTTATTTATTTATTTATTATTATTTTTTTAACCCCCCCTTCCTCAATGGTCAGTGGTCACTTCTAGTTCTGCACTCAAGAATTAACTTCTGACAGAGCTCAGAGGATCATTTGGGGTGCTGGGAATTGAACCCTGGTATGCACTCTTTAGTTACAGTGCTCACATACATTCTAGTTGCCCTGCTTGCTAGAGGTCACAGTTTCTGGTCATGTTTTTTACGTCTTTTAGTTACAGTACTCACCGGGAGTCACGCCATTTAGTTATGATGCTTGCACTTACCTGACAGCAGTGTGGGTGGAAGTCACTTGCATGCTGGGACCACAGAGAATGCAGCTGCTCTCTCAAACAGCACAGATGCCAGGATCATACTGCACACATGTGGCAGCACTGGGAATAAAACCTGAGATCTTATGTTCACAAGACCGGCACTCTCACCCACCGAGCTCTCTCTCCAGGCCCCAGTTGTCATAGCAATGTGCAGGGGTTACTCCTGCCTCTGCACTCAGGAATCACTCCTGGCGGTGCTTGGGGGACCATATGGGATCCCAGGGATCGAACCCAGGTTGGCCGTGTGCAAGACCCTACTCGCTGTACTATCACTCTGGACCCTGTCATAGTGTTTTGAGTAGGGAAGTAAAGTGATATTAATTTCAGGCAGCGCATAAGGCTAGGAAAGTGGCTCAGTGATAAAGCACTTGCTTGGCATGTGAGGCCTTAGTTAAATCCCTAGCACCATATACATACATAATAATAATTTAAAAAATTATTTTTTAAAGTGCTCTCACAGTGAGGCCTTTTATTTTGTATTTATTTTGTTTTGCTTTTTTAGGTCACACCCGACAATGCTCAGGGGTTGCCCCGGCTCTGCACCAGAAATTTCTCCTAGCAATACTTGGGGGACCATATGGGATGCCAGGAATTGAACCCAAAACACCCTCTCTGCTATATTATTGTTCCAGTCCCCACAAAATAATAAAATTAAGCAGCATGTAAAGAATAGAGAATATAGGACACAAAAACCAGTTGGGGGGGGTGCTCTTGTGGGAATAATTCCAGACAATAGATAACAGTATCATGAATTAGAGTGGACAGTGGTAGGTAAACCTGGGAAGTGACTTTTTTAGTGCAGTGAAAATAATCTTGTCATTTCTGGGTGATTTCGTATTTACAAGTAGCACACAGGGAATACAGGAACTAGTGGAACATTTTCGCTTTGACTCAAAAGACATGCATTTTGTTTTAAACAGACGCCGCTGTTCTCAATAATGTAGCACATACATTTGGCCTGATGGACACAGTCAAGAAGGTTTTGGACAACAGGAGGAACCAAGTAGAACAGGGAGAAGAGCAATTTCTCTATACTCTGACAGGTGTGTATAGCTTCTCTCTTTTTAAGTGACACTAAATGAAAATCCTTGAGTCTTGCCATTTCTTTGTTTTTGTTTTCACTTGTGACTGACTTCCCTTTTATCCTTCCCTTCTCCCCTCCCTTCCTTTCCATTTTTGCCTTTTCTTCCCCTTCTTTTCTTTTTGGTGAGTCCATACCCACAATACTCCGAGGAACTACTCATGGTGGTGTTCAGGGGCTATGCTGGGGCTGGAACCCACGGCTCTCACATGCAAAGCCTGGCTTCTAGTAATTTCCCTGGCTCCCCTGCCCGCTCTCTCCCCTTCTTTGCAGTGCTATTCAGGCCCAGAGGTACTTAGGGACACCAGGGCTACATTAGCAATACTGGTGTTTGTGGTGGGGGGACATGCATATTAGAAATTGAACTCAGGGCTTCACACATGCTAGGTATGTGCTCTATTATTTATTTGTTTTGTTTGTTTTGGACCACACCCAGCAGTGCTGAAGGTTTACTCCTGGCAGACAAGGTAATGCCTTAACCCACTGTACTATCTCTCTCTGGTCCAGTACTTTGTGATCTTGAGCACAGAGCTAGGAGTAGGTCCTGAGCACAGCTGGGTGTGGCCCCCCCCAAAAAAAACAAAATCAAATGTTATGTTGAAGGTTGGGGACCAGAGAGATGGTATAGGGGATAAGGCACTTGCCTTGCATGTGGTGCTGCTATTCTGGTTCAGTCCCCAGGATCACATTGATGATCCACTAAGCACAGCCAGGAGTAAGCCCTACGTACTTTTGGGTAAATCTAACAACGACAAAATATTTTAAAGGTTTTCTTGATCCTTTTATTCAAAGCAAGGAATTAAGTCGCTAGTGGTGTTCTCTAGAAGTGTTTCTCTGCTAGCACCACTCAGGGCCCCAAGAATATTTGAAGGGGAACCAGGGGATTTCACATTAATGTGGAAAACACATCAGTGAAATCCATGTCATGAAACTAGAGGACCAATATTAGGAGAAGAGAGGGAGCGCAGGAAGGAAGGGAGGTCCCAAGGGGGCACAGTCAGAAAAAGGTTGAGAAACACTGGTCTAGAAGGCATAGTGTTTTGTTTTACAGATGTGATTATCGAATATTTTTAGCTATTTGGCAACCAGAAGTTCTAATGTAGAACCAGGTCCACCAGTGGTCCACATTGTTGGCCTGGATTTCTGGGAGAGGGACAGCAGAGGTTATATTATGATAGAGAGGCCTCTGTGTGGACCAGGGAGATGGTTCACTGGGCTGGAACTTCATGTGCAAGAGACCCAGGTTTGATGTCCAGCACTTTTACAGTTGAACTTTAATATTTTGACAGCCTGAAAGAGAATCTGTTTTTTTGTCCTGCCTTTTACGCAGAAATATAATTATTGGGACTGGAAAGATAGCTCAGTGGATTAGAGCATGTAAAAATATATTTTACATGTGGAAGGTCTGTCTTCCATTTCTAGCACCATGTAGTCCCCTGAGCACTCTCAGGTGTATCTTAACAGTCAAAGGGGGGGAAATGTAATTATTGGAAGAATTCTCTTGGGAGTGCGGTGTCACACCTGGCTGTGCTCAGGGGCTACACCTGGCAATAGTGGGGGACAGTGTGGTACTGGTCATTCAATGCAGGTTGGGTATGTCTTCCAAGGCATTTAAGTGCCCTAACCCTGTACGATCTCTCTGGCCCCAACTTCTTTATTTTGTGAGGAGCACACTCAGCACTGCATAGTGCTTATTCCTGGCTCTGTGCTTAGGGATCACTCCTGGCAATACCCAGGGACCACATGTGGTGCTGGGGATTTAACCAGGGTTGAAGTGGGTCCCCACTTTACAATTTGTAGAATAAGCAGGTTGCTGGAGTGATAGTGTAGTTGGTAGGGGACTTGCCTTTATGCAGCCAACCCAGGTTCAATCCCTGGCACCTGTATAGACCCCTAAACCCTGCCAGATCCCTGAGCATAGAGTAAGGAGTAAGTCCTGAGCACTGCCAGGTGTGAGCCCAAAATAAAACAAAATATAGTAAATAAAATAAAGTGGGCCAGAGAGACCATATTGGGGTTCAGGCAACAGTTTGATCTCCAGCACCATATCTGATTCCCCAAGCACCACCAGGAGTGATTCCTGAGTACTGCTGGGCTGGGTGTGGCCCCAGACCCCCACCCCCGCCCCCAACAAATGATCCAAAAAGAATCTGAAAAGAGTTACCAGAATCTTTGTAGTGGCAAAACCTGGAGGTCAGGACCTTCGAGTCTCTTTACTACCAGTTTACAGTTCCTCAGAGTATACTTCCCTCCACCAAAATTGTTTTTAAATTTTCCACAGACTTGGAACGCCAGTTGGAAGAACAGAAGAAGCAAGCTCAGGATCACAGGCTGAAATCCCAGACAGTTCAAAATGTGGTACTGATGCCCATGAGCACTCCCAAGCCTCCAAAAAGGCCCCGGCTCCAGCGGCCAGCCTCTACCACCGTCCTGAGCCCTTCTCCTCCTGTCCAGCAACCTCAGTTCACCGTCATCTCCCCCATCACCATTACCCCAGTGGGTCAGTCGTTTTCCATGGGCAATATTCCAGTGGCCACCCTCAGCCAGGGCTCCAGTCCTGTGACTGTGCACACACTGCCTTCTGGCCCTCAGCTCTTCCGCTATGCCACAGTGGTCTCCTCTGCCAAGAGCAGCTCACCAGACACAGTGACCATCCACCCGTCATCTAGCTTGGCACTGCTGAGCTCCACTGCCATGCAGGATGGGAGTACCCTGGGCAACATGACCACCATGGTGAGCCCTGTGGAATTGGTGGCCATGGAATCTGGCCTGACCTCAGCAATTCAGGCAGTTGAAAGCACCTCAGAGGACGGGCAGACCATCATCGAAATTGACCCAGCCCCAGACCCAGAGGCTGAGGATACTGATGGCAAAGCAGTCATTTTGGAGACCGAGCTGAGGACTGAGGAGAAAGTCGTGGCAGAGATGGAGGAACACCAGCACCAAGTCCACAACGTGGAGATTGTGGTCTTAGAGGACTAACTGGGAATTTGGGGGCCAGGAGATATATTTTGGTTTGGAATTTTAATTATTTGTTTGTTTTTGTCATTGTCCCACTCATTTCCACTTAGGATCTTTTTTTTTTAAAAAAAAAAAACAAAAAACAGCAACATAATTTTGTTGTAACTGAAAATGTTGGGTCCCTCCACCTTGTCATTGAAAAATGGACAAAAACAAGCTGCCCTTCTGAAGTTGAATATAGGTCACTCAATGTCCTAATCCTTTTATACCAAGAACATTATTTCTTTTAGGTGAGCCACCATGATAACCAGAAATCCTGTCGAGAAAGCCCTTTCCAAGCTAGTCTATCTGTGTACTCGTACGATTGTGTTCTTATAAAGGTGTGTTGACCAAACTGTGGAACACAGATCTGACACTGGAAGGCAACTCACTCAGATGTGGATGCAGAAGGATACTTTATTTTGTATCCCCAGAAGCCAGTGCAAAACGCTGAGGTTAAAGGAAGTTGAATTCTGCTTGGAGGGAAGGGTGGCATAGCCACAGCAGCAGCTTAGGAAGGGGAAGTGCTTTGGCCAGAAGGGGCAAGGAAATGATCTTAATTTCTAGAATGCAACTGATGCCTCTTTATCTCTGAGGGTTACCACCAAGGGTACCACTTTGAGGAAAGGGCTGAGTGGAAGTGCACATCTCCACAGAGCAAGTGGCATCAGAAATGGGAAAAGCTGCGACTTTGCAGAAATAGCTGGCAGTCACAGCTATGCAGTGGGCTTCAAGGCGATAGCCCCCTGGGCTCCCCACTTTGTCAAAGCACTTATTTATCCTTCTAAACTAAGATCAGTCCATTCATTTGCAAACTGTGTGATGTGTTGTGAATTGTTCTTGGACTCTGGCTGTTGTGGGGCTGGGGCGCCAAGCCATCTTTATTGCATGACTCCAGAGAAGGGGGGCTCCTTATCCAGACCACCTGCCCCTTATGAGGGACCCTCTTTTGGCTTGAGAACCAAAAGCAGCCGCTCATCTGGTGCTTCTGTTTGTTGTTCCCTCCATCCCACAACTGTTCGTGGCATCTGTCTCCTGGATCCACACTCTTCAGCTTTTTGACTGATCTGGAGGACAGTGACGGGTGCTTGCCTGCCTTCATCCCCTTTTAGATTTATTTATACCCCAGATGGTTTCTGTGAGATATTGAGCTCATAATAAAGCCTTAGGCTTGGCAGGAAAGACTTCACACCCCCAGCCTATCTTCAGGCATCCAGTAGATGTCTCCTCCTGAGTGAGCTGGACTCCTGGGAAAGACACTTTGTTGGCAACATTCTGTTACAGGAGCTGTACCAGGAATGCCAATAATACTGTCTGGGGTGGGGCAGTACTTTGTGTTCTTTCTTTCTTTTTTAAATATTGTTTGTATATTTAGAGCTGGGCCATTTTCTGTGCTGTGATTCCCTCTCCTTAAACCATCTTCAATGTTTGAGGCAAGAGTAGACCCTGGTTTTAATTTCTTTGACTGCATTGTTTACTGCACTAGAAAAAAAAATAGGAAAACTGCAGACAATTAAAAGAAAAATAGGTCAAAAAAAGAAAGCACACACTTAAGGAGTTGGAGGTTTTTGTTTTTCTTTCTCTCCCTCTCCCTCTTTCTTTTTTTTAATTAAAAGCAAAACTTTGACCTGTAGTTTTCCTTCTTTCCCCCCACCGGTCCAAGAGACATACCCACCTGAAGCCATGTTTCTTCCAACCAGTGTTGGAATTGCTGTTGTAAAGTGAGTGAAAATGTGTCCTGCCATCTTGCAAAAGGTCGTATATAGCTGGAGCTCTCCGACTTAGGAGTTTGAATCTGAAAAGCCTTAAGGGTGAACCCCATACACTTGTGGTTTTATGAGCCCCATACAATTGTGGTTTTAAGCTTTAAAGTCTGGGGTTCTGTTTTTCATTTCAAAATATTTAGCAGATGTAGCGATCAGCTTTGGACAAACCTTTGGTTCATTATATATCTTTAATGAGGGAAGTGGCTTTTGGTTCTTGCTACTTTAGGTTTTCTTTCTTTGGCACATTAACAAAAACTAAAATTTTGTCTAAGCCTGAAACTATTACTTGGACCTAGAAAGGCATGTGTCATTCCTGTTTCAGTTTGTAGGGACACTTCTCTCCTTCTCAAAGATGAAAGGCCCAATTCAGGGCAGAAGAGGAGCCATAGGGAACACCCACCTGCCAGCTCAGGGTCCTGCCTCTCTGTCAGAGCTGTTGGCCATGTTATACGGTGGCATGAGTATCATGCTTCCAAAATCAAGAGATCTCCTAAGGTCTGAGCTTGTTAACTTTCACTATCTGAATATTCTGACTGGTGAAATACATGAGCTTTGTTGTTTTCCTGGTCTGCCAATAGCCTGTCATTATTGCTGGATACCATGTCCCTCATTGAGTATGGCTTTTCCACCTGGTCTGGATCAGTGTTGATAAACCTTTTCCTCACCGTGGCCCCCTTCCAGTTTTGTTACCCCTGTCCTACTGGTTGACTCCTAGTGTTGTGCCATGTTCCCCACCCACTCATTGAAGTGGTTTTTATCTTTGACCCCCTTGGAACGTCCTGGGGCCCCACAATGGGGCCACGTGGCTCCTGATTGTAAGACTGAGTAAGATATATACAAGTTATCGGCATGTACACCAAGAGTTACAATGAATCAGGCTGACTTGGCAGAGGCTATCTCTCAGTTCATCATTAAATAAAAATTTATAGGTACCATCTTTGTGCCAGGCTTTTTGAGCTAGGCACTGGCAGAAACAATCCCTAAACTTAAGGAATTCATCCTCCAGAGGTTATCAAGAAATATGGACTGGAGTGATAGTACAATGGGTAGGGCCCTTGCCTTGTACACTGCCAAACCGGGTTTGATCCCCGGCATCCCATATGGTCCCCAAGCCAGGCAGGTGTGATTTCTGAGTGCAGAACCAGGAGTAAACACTGAGCACTACTGAGTGTACCCCGCTCCCTCCCCCCAAAAGAAAAAGTACACTGAAATATATAGTCCCCCAACCTCCACCAGGAGTAAATCCTGAGCACCACTGGATGTGACCAAAAAAAAGGAAACGATTATTTTGAGAATAAGTCCATAGAGAGAAAGTCCAACAAACTTTCTCTCGTCAAATAGTGAAATCATACTGGGATAATCCAATGACAGGACAAGCTATGGCTGGGAACAAAATACCAAGCCCCTAATCTAGTGTGAGATCAGGGCAATAAACATGGGATTTTTCCTGGAGAAGCTATATGCCTGAACTGATTTAGGAGAGGTCATTTTTGGCTTTTGTGTGTGTGCTTCATTTTTGAGTAGTTGGGTTTTACTGATACAAGAGAGAGAAAAAATCCTTAGTCACATGCTGTTTCTGTCTCCAGAGCTAGGCAGCGTAAGCAGTGTGAGCAGTCTCCCCTGAGATTAGTCCCCCGGAGAAATGTGTCAGCCTCTCCAGATTTCCATCAGCTGAATCCGGGACTGGGGTTTAGCTGGTTGAAGTTTAGCCTCAAAGCTTATTGCCATGTGGTTTCCACAAAGGCATCAAACGACTGTCACTGTTTCTCCATAGCTATATCCCTGCCTGTTTAGCCCCTGCCTTATTTCTCGCTTTTTTCAGTTTCCAGACTTTCTCTTGCTCACCCCTAAACAAAACAAAGCAACTCCCATCGTTCTCATTCTAAATTTTATTTATTTATTTTGGTTTTAGGGTACACGCCTAGCTGTGCTTAGATCATATTCCTGGCTTGTACTCAGGGATCACTCCTAGCAGGACTCAGAGAACCAAATGTGATACCACTTAACTGTGTTGGTTAAGAGCAATACTACTTACTATTCTAGCTCCTGCTTATTCTAAATTTTAAAATAGACTATTCCCCTAGCTGGGAAGACAGTTCAAAGGTTTAAAGCAGCTTGCATTGTGTGCCGTAGCCCTGACTTTGATGTCTGGCATTGCATGATCTTCTGTGCACCTGTGAGAGTGAGCACTGAGTTGGGAGTAATCCCTGAGCACTGCTAGGTATGCCCCACAAAGAAAACAACACCCGCCCTCCTGAGCATTACAGATTCTAATCCTGGTGTCCTCTGAGTACCACTAGGTGGTCCTGATGATCTCCAGCATATGTCACTGACTATTGAACCAATTGTGGCCAGTTGTATTTGGCCAACTTCCTTTGGGAGTGATTCAATGCAACCCTCTTCCCCCCCACACACACACCAAATGGATCACAGACTTAATATATAAGATTCATAGTCATTTGGGGGCTGTAGAAATAGTACAGTGGATAGGGCACTTGCTGTGCATGTGACTGGCCAGGTTCAATCCCTTAACACCTCATATGGTTCTCAAGAGTTCTTCCACGAGTGATCCCTGAGCACAGAGCCAGGAATAAGTCCAGAAAACTGCCATGTATGGTCCAAAAAACAAAAAGAAAACACCAAAGAATACAATACATTCACATGAAATGACCACCAAAGTCATTTGTTGTACATGTGTTTTTTTTTTTTTTTAGGGGTGGTTTGAGTCACACTCAGTGGTAGTCAGGGCTTACATCTGACTGCTCAGGATTCACTTCTAGCATTGCCTGGGGGTCCATATAGGGTACGAGGAATTAAACCCAGGTCGACTGTGTGCAAGTCAAGCAGCCTTACCCTACTGTACTATCACTCAGGCCCCAAGAAAAGGTTGAGTTCTAAAATTAGGTCTGGGGCCAGAAAGGGTTGAGCAGTTGTGTTGCGTGTATGAGTTCTAGTACATTCCCGAATAGTACATGGTCTGCCAGCACCACAAGAAATGACCCCTGACACCGCCATATGTGACGCCAAAACAAAACAAAAATAGGAGTTGTCAAGCCCCTTAAACATTTTCATAAAACACAAATTCCACTATACTTTTTTCATGTCAGAAATCGGTGGGTTTTGGGGCCAGTGTGATAGTACAGCAGGTAGAGCGTTTGCCATGTATGTGGCCAACCCTGATTCGATCCCAGCATCCCATATGGTCCCCTGAGCACTACCAGGATTAATTCCTGAGTGCAGAGCCAGGACTAACCCTTGTGTGACCCAAAAAGCCAAAAGTAAATAAATAAATAAATAAATAAAACCTAGCTGGATAAGTTGCTCTAGCCCAGTTTAATTCCCATCTCTTCACAACGACCTGAAATTTATGTCTTTTTTGTTTATTTTGGTTCACACTTGGAGGTACGTGGGTGCTGATTCTGGCTCATTATAAGGGGATTGCTCCAGTTGGTGCTTGGGGATCACCTGGTTTTGAGAATGGAACTTAGGTTTTCTGAATGCAAACCATGCGTTCTGGCCTTTTGAGTCAGATGGAGCCTGGGTCAGCTGCATGCAAGGTCAGCATCCGGCCTGCTGTACTACTTCTACACCTACTGCCCAATAATATCTCTTTGGCTTCTGTTTTATTTCTAATTTAATTCCCTTTTGCTGTTTTTGTTGCAGTACTTGGACTGGACTGAGGGTTGCAAGTCCTTTGTTATGCTTTCCGGGAATCACATACCTTTGGTTGTGGTGCCAGGGATCACCAACAGCAGTGACCCCGGGATTTTTCACAGTATGTGAGGCAATGCTGGGGTTAAATTCTTTGTCTCAGGCCTTCAAGGAAGGGGCTTTACCACTGAGCCATCTTTGAGTCTTGTGTTTTGTTTTGTTTTTTCTTTTTGGGTCACACCCGGCGATGCTCAGGGGTTACTCCTGACTCTGCACTCAGAGTCAGGACCATATGGGATGCTGGGAATCGAACCCGGGTCGGCCGCATGCAAGGCAAATGCCCTACCTGCTGTTCTATT